ACATCACCCAGCTGTAACGTTTTCACCTAGAGTTGAGTTTGAAGCTGACTGAGCCAGCCACGTCAGGGGCGGCACTGTGTTATGGTGCAGAGGGGCTGGGAGAATCCCTAACACAGCGGTGGGACATCCTGAGACACACTAGCCCATCAGTGTGTTGTCACCGAGGCAGGACTGCAGCCGGGAGGCATCCAGGCGACGGGATGACAGGCCCTGCAGAGCACTTCTCTGCTGTTTGTCCACCACAGCCCTGGCGGCTGGTATCAGCAACTCTTCCTGCTTTATTTCATTTTTCACTGACAAATCCTCTCCCGGCTGGAGAGTCATGTATTTTTAGAGTTGGAAGGGACCTTCATAATTATCTTAATTCAACCCCCCTGGCATGTTTGCAGAGGAAGAGAATGAGACACCGAGAGGTGAGGCAATTGGGTCCCGGTCGCCCAGCTAACCGGTGAACGCTGGGGCCCTCTTGGGCTCCCCGATCCGACGGGGCAGGAAGGGACCCTCTGTTCCGCCGTCTTCTAGTTTGTTAGTTGCCAGAAGTTCAACAGTCTTTCTTCCTTCGCTTTCTAAAGCCTTTTGGAAATAATCTCTCTCCTTTGAAAGAAGTGAAGACGTGTTTTACTCAGAAAACTTATTTTTTCCCCCAGATGGGTTTTTGTTCTAACCCACTGTGACTCCCCTGCAGTCTGACACGGCTTTCACGGCACAGCGTGATGGCTCCCTCGTGGCCAGCACTGCCCAGCTGGACGTGTGTGCGGCAGTCTCAGCAGAGCCCCATGTGCTTTGGAACGTGAGGCTGCCTCTCATTCAGGGAAGGACAGACGTTGGAAACTGGTCAGCAAACTGCCTGGGTCTTTAGGGTGGGGGACCCTAGGAACTTCCTGAGAAGCAACCATTTATCAAACTGAAACTTTCAACAGGATCCTTGTCTCTGGAAATTAAAAATCTCACACGTCTGTCCCAGGACTGAGCTCCCCAGTGACTCCTGAGCTCCCATGGAAGCTCGCTGCCACTGGAGGCTGGGTGTGCGGTGGACGGGGTGGCGCCTGGAGCATGGCCCGGTCCAGGGGGGATACGGGAGATTTGAAAATGACTTGTATGAGAGGAGAGGAAGAGAACTCAAGGGGTGCTTATCAGGGACGGTTTCAGCTCAATGGGGAAGGATCTGGGAGTCCTTTCCAGGTACCCCAGTGTCTACCCAGCCCTAGCTTTCTCCCCACGCCCCCCCCGCCCGCTTCCTGCCCCGCACGAAATCCTCTGTCGGGTCTGCTGTGGGGTGGCAGGGGGACAAGGCTTCGCTCTGGCTCCTCGGCTTGTCTGTGCTCTGAGGCTTGAGTTTAAAAGCTAAAAAAGCCCTTTCTCTGCTCCTGCTGGAACATCTCTTCTGTGAGGCCCTGTACATGGCGGGATCCTCCTTCCAAACAAAGAAAGGATCTCAGGGGATAAGACAAGAAGGGAGAAACATCAGTTACTGGCTCCACACCGAATCACACTGCATTTGTAAGAGCTCACTTAAGGAAGAACAGGGACTGTTCAGTGTGACAGTCTCAGCTGGAGCTGTTTCCAGGGGCAGCAGATGAATTTCGCTATGTGAACTGAGTTTGTGGAATAATGAGAAACTGTCCTGGTAGATTTTCCTCCAATCTCTGGAGTACACAGAGTTTTTTCTTGCTGTAGCAAAGCTTAATTTTGTACCAAAGTGGTCAGGGAATCCTGGAGCTCTGTGGTACTCAGGGATGATCTGTGCTGTGTATTCTCTGTCCTTCCAGGTCCGTTCTCCCCTCTTCTCTGCACTGTTCTGGGTCCCAGGGTGGGGGAGGGGTGGTCTCCCTGGGCCCTATCAGTGGGCTCCTCTGCCCTCTGGCTTCTGTTTGGATTTGGCCAATAGGAGGCACCCACATGTCCATCATTGGGTGGTTTCCTTAAGCTGGTCCATGCCTCAGAATAATCCCCTTCATAATAGCTCCCATGTGAGTGTGTAATATCTTACCTGCTGGGACTTTGAACTGATACATCATCTAATCCAATATGACCATTTTATAGATGAGGAAACTGAGGCACAGGGGGCCCACTGACTTTTCTAGTGGTGTCCTTTTCCCCTTTTCCTCCTCCTCTTCCCAGCCATGGTTGAATACTCAGAGACTGAACCCCTGTGGCCCAGGCATGCCTGTTTGGGGTGGGGAACCCCCTGGCACAAGAGTCTGCTCTGCTCTCATGTGATGATATGTTTCTAAAGAACTTCCATTTATTTGAAAAGTAGATCCTTAAAATGGTATTTTAAGTAGTATATGCATACCATAGGATATTTCTTAGTTTTAGACAGGAATGTAAAGCTGTCATATGCAACAAATGATGTAGCTGAACCTTGAGGATGTCATGCTGCGTGAAATAAGCCAGTAGTACCGCATGGTGTCACTGACATGAGGTGCTGAAGCAGTCAGACTCGTGGGAGCGAGAATGGTTATGGGGAAGGGGAAGGAGGGGGAAGGGAGCTGCTCTTCAATGGGTGTAGAGTTTCAGGTCTGCAGGATCAAATCAGTGCTGGAGATCTGCTGTACAGCGTTGTACTTCTGTTAACGGCACTGTGTTATACAGGCAGATGTGTGTCAGGAAGGCAGATCTTGCGTCATTTTTTTAACCACATAAAAAGGAGCCAGATGTATTTTAATAGGTCAAAGAAGTAGCTGGCGTCTTCTCTGGGAGGCCGATGTTCACGGGGGCATGGCTGGGCTGGCGCAAAGTCGGGAGATGCCTTCTTCCTCCAGGCCGGAAGCACCTGGTGCCAGGGCTTGGCCAGAGGCATGCGAGCTGACCTCGCCCCCCACCCTTCTCTCAGCCCCGCGCCCTGCGCACACACCTCCCCACTCCAACATGCGAGGGGTCAGGGTTTCTGGTCATGCCTCTGACCGGGTGTGAGTGAATGAGTGTGTGTGTGTGAAAGAGATTGAGATTCTTCTTCTATTAATTTTTCTAAGTTCTCTGAAGAGTCGTTATTGAGCACTCATATTTCATTGATTATAAAATTGATTATGCAATGTTTTATTTTTTTCACATTTAATTAAATTAATTTATATTTTGCATTAACTCCCTTTTAATAATAGGACCTGCAAGTAACATTCAGGGCAATACAATATTGGAAATATTATATATCAAATGTTAAGAGTTGACAAGAAATTAGAAAAACTGGGTTAATTAGATAGTACAATTCTTGATCTCTGGTTGATAGTAATGATAATTATAGCAAGTGTTTGTATTTGTAAAATACTATAGCTCCGTTTTTCAAAGGTTTGTCAGATTCATTATCTCACTTTTTGTCAATGACACGTTGAGGCAAATGTTAGGTTATTATCATTATCATCGTTATTTTCACCCCATTTCAGACAGGCAGACACTGCAGTTCAGACAGGTAGAGGCAGAGGTCGAGCCAAGGTCATCTAACCCCTAAGTAGCAGACCTGGGAGTAGGGTTCCAACTTCTTGCAAAGCTCTGTTTAATACCATCCAGCACTGCATGCATTTATTAAGTGTCACAGAAATTACAGTACCAAAAGAAACCTTTGAAGAGAAATAATGCTATTTAGACTTTCACATCCCAACTGATGGATTAGTCCTTTCTGAAACGCCAGAGGCAAGAGTGGAGAGCACAGAGGCTGAGGACCTAGCATAAGTTTCAACTCTGTTGTGTAACTAGATTTGTGATCTTTGGCCAGTTGCTTATTCTCTACTACCAAGTCATCTCATTTTACAGAAAGGAAGTGAGTGTGTTTTAGGGTTACAAGGAAGAGAATGAATGAATGTTTGTCGAGCAAAAATTATGGGCAGGCATTATCCTAGGAGATTTATATCTAATATTTCATTAAGTAAGTTATCTTTTGAAGGTTCTTCAGAAAATTGTAAAGCACCATAAAAATGCCATTTGTCTACCTATCGCCTACTTATTCATTCATTCAGTTATGACTGAAAAATTTCTTGTTCTGTGACCATTTGCTCAAGGCTTTGCCTGAATAAGTCTACAAGAGCTCTTTCAATAAGTATAAAATAAAACTTCTAAATCTTAGTGTTGCACTCCTGTTAAATTGGTAGCTATTTTTCTTTTTTATTGTTATAACAGAGCATTGTCTCTGACAGTAAGTGAGTCCTGACAATCAAAGAAATATGGTAGTGAAGGGGGAAGCCTAGTAAGTTATTAGCATGAGTCAGAAGATGAGTTGGAAAGCTAAGGTCTGAAGATTGAGTTCACTAATTGTTTTACTCAGTCAATGTTTATTAGGCATGTGCTCTGCGACCAGTGCTGGGCTGGGCACGAGGATACAGCTGTGGACAAAACAGACCCAATGCCTGGGCTCCTGGGGACAACAGGATAGACTGCATGCATGAGGTGTCAGAAGAAGCTGTGCAGGCTTCTTTGGAAGTGCCAGTAGGGGAGCTTAAGATGGTCTAGGGAGCAGGCAGCCTCATTGAGGAAGTGACACTTAGGAGGGAAGGACGAGCGGGACTTGGACAGGTGGAGGTGAGTGGGGAAGGTGAAGGCAATGCTGGCGGAAGGAGCAGCGTGCGGGAAGCCGGGAGGTGGCAAGGAGTTGTGCACTAAAGGCAGTCCAGTGCGGCTGCGGCAGGGGTGATGGTGCAGAGGCGGGGGCCAGGCTGGAGACGTTGCGGGGCATCAGGTGATGAAGGGCCTTCAAAGCCAGGGCGAGGCTCAGCCCTTCTCCCAAGGGTACGAGGAAGTTGTGGAAGGGGTTTCAGGAGGAGTGCGGTGTGCCATGCTTCTGTTTTAGAATTGTCACTCTGGCTGCTGGGCTGCAGAGTGAGAGCAGATAAAGAGAGTGTGGCAGGAATCATTCCTACTTGATTAGAGGGGTGGGAGCTGGGGTGGGCAGAAGGTATCGAGTGACGCGAGGGAATCCTGGAACAAGTAGTAGTCCTCATCGCTGATTGCATCCCCCTGATATGATACCCTCTGTTCCTAATTACCTAAAACAATAACTTTATTTTTAACAGAGTGACTTCTTCTGACCTGAAGCTTCAAGTGCTTTGAGAGATCTACTACCAGGTAAATACAGAAAATGTTTCCCTCGGTTTTATACATACCACTTTTCTCCCAAGATGTGCTAAGACCTAAATCCAACCTCTTATTTAACCCTTGCAATAGCCCTAGGAGTTATGCACTGTTTTATTTCTTATATATGAGGAAGTTGAGACACAGAGGTGAGGCCACTTGATCAGCACGCACGAAGACGTTCTTCACAGTATAAATTATAATAGCCAAAGAAAACATGTCCTGTTCAACTTGGGGCCTTCGTGCTTATGTTCCAAGCAGGCAGGCAGAGAAGGGCACACGGTCGTGTCTCCCGCCTGAGTCTGTCCAGGTAAAGAGTTTTCCTGGTTGCCTGGGGTCAGTGAATTTTGCCTTATTCTTAATGGCCACCATGAGCTGCAGAAAAGGCTGGAAAATGGATCTTTGGGTTGAGCATATTGCTGCTGCAAAAGAAATCAGGGCTGGGTTCGCTCTGGATGGAGAACTAAATGTGGACACCAGACAAACAGGGAGCTAAATATCAGCTTTCCTCCCAGCGGTCCTGAATTAGAGAATGAGCTCAAATTATGGACAGGATCAGCTGTAATCAGACCTTCTATTGCATTTGTTGCTGAAATCTTTCATGGAAAAGAAAACCACATGGTGCTGAGGATGGAAATAGAGAGAAGGAAGGTTCCCAGACCTGCCTCCATGCACTCGCCCTCACCCAGTCTGAACAGTCCATGGAGCTGCTCCCTTGAGGATGGGTGAGGGGTGCAGGGAAGGGTGGGAGTCATCTCCCAGTAGTTTTAAGAAGGTCAACTGTTTTGTGTTATGTGCCTAGGAAGGAACATACGACATCTTATTATACATTTTTACCTAGTGTGACAATTGTGTTATGTTTGTTTCTTTGTATATTTTCCCCAACTCCTGCTGTTCATGGCCTAGAGGTAATCTGATCTGGGAATTGAGACGGGGAGAATTCATGTGTTGAAATTGTGAAGCCTCACGAAGCAAACAGAGATGGCCTGCTTATAGATTTTAAAGAGTGGGTAGAATTGTTCCAGGCGGAGAAGAAGGGTGATTTAGGGTGAATCAACAGCACGGGCTTCAGGCAGTGTAGTGACTTCCAGCTGTTTCAGAAGCTTGTTGAAGTGTTCTTCACAGGGTCCCCCTGCATGTCTGCAGACACACACGCACACACACATACACACGCAAACTGCGGCAGCTCGCTGCACCTGCAGGGGGTTGGTGCCCTTGCGTGCAGCGGGCACTGGCTTCTCCTCTCAGCTTATCATCTTTGTCTCCTACCATCACGCTGATTTGGAAAACGGCAACAACCCGCCGTGCTCCCTACCCAAGGCTCAGCTCAGGACTGTGGGTTGACAGCTAATTGTCGCTGCTGATTGCTTTGCTGACAGTGCTTTGTAGCTATTTTGGTTTTTCTTGAGTGTTTCTTAATTAGAGGAAATGACAACGTGTGCTGTCCAATCAGCCTCTTGTCAGACATTATTACATTCGCAGGGGAATCAGGCGGCATTTGGGCTGGTGCCTGCCACGCTGGTACGAGGATTGCAGCCTGAGCCGTGCCCCCCCTCAGCTCGGAGACGGGTCTGCTGCCGGCGTGAGGGAGAGCACTCGTTGCACATTCCCAGTGTGGGTTCCGACTGCCCGAGACTCTACCAGGGTCCCTGGTCAGGCAGCAGCGTCCCCCTCCCTGTGGCTGATGCCCTGAAACTTCACCCCTCACAGCGGCCATTGCCTTGACAGGACGCTTTCTTCTCCCAGGAATGAGAAGTTTCAGGGTTCCTTTGGTATCTGCCTTTGTGGCAACACGGCTCCTACTGGTGACGTTGTGGAGGGCGTTTGCCCTGCAGTGTAGGAAGTGAGATCTTACTACGTTGCTTGAATGAACAGGAAGAGCGATCTTGAGTTATAAAATAGTCCAGATTTAAAAATAACCGTGAAGACCTTTACGACTCTGCAGGCCACAGAGTAACTCCACCAGCTACTTTTTAAGGGGCCGTTCTTTCTAAGGCTCCTTCATTGAATGCCTGACTTAGAATAGCTGTGACTATTTGCACATTAACTGTGAATGAAAGTTTCAAACATCGATTTGTCAGATGAGTATGGCCCCTTCTTTTCCAATTTCGTGTGTGTGTGTGTGTGTGTGTGTGTGTGTGTGTGTGTGTGTATTAATTCATTGTTAAAAAGGTTCATTGGGCCTGCCGGGGTGCCGTCGGGCTTGCCGAAGCCCAGCCCCTGTCCTCAAGGACCTTACGTAGGAATCGGGACGTCAGCCCTCTCCAGAGGTTTTTGCTTCACTCTGGGGCGTGCGCCTGGCTATGTGGGCTCTCTCTGGGAGTGGTCAGTGTTGGAGCCAAGAGCACGGAACACAGGCTTGTCCAGGGCTGGGGAGACAAGAGCACAAAGGTGTTGAGGGTTTTATGGAGAGATTGTGAGTGTGTCGGGTTGGGCATAGAAGGAAGGGAGGCCCGTGTGTGTGTGTGTGTGTGTGTGTGTGTGTGTGTGTGGAGGCCGGAGGCAGGAGATCCCCGGGGGGGAGGGGAATGGGGAAATGGAGAGTGGGTACGCGGTGAGAGGTGTAGAATGACACGCTATCTAGCTTTTCCTGCATGTCTGTCTTGTCTCCTCAGTCAGAGTGCAGAAGGGCCAGACAGGGCATTCCCTTCGTGTCTTCTTCAGCTCACAGCACATGCTCCTCGGTGTCTCCTGAGGAAGTCAGCCCAGCTGCGGGCTGTGGGTGGATTGTGGGATCAGTGGTCAATTTTTTTATGTATATAGAAGGAATTGACGTGTACATGGGTTTGTGTATATGATGAGCTCCAACGTGATTCTGATACAGCCTGGTGGTGGTGTAAACACGCGTGGGCTCACACACACTCACACACACACATACACTATGGTGAAAAGGAACTCTCTACCATTGGGTATTCGTTCATTGCTTTCAGGTAAAGGGAAGTCACCATCTCAGGGGGACAGTCTGGGGAGACCTCAGAGAGCCCTGCCCTGTGGTGTGGTTTGGCCTCACCAGTAATGCCGAAAATACTGCCCCTTTCCACGGACCACAGTTCTCCTTCCACTCTTCGTGATTTCCTGGGCTAAGTGCCTGTGAAAGCCCAAATGAGTGACGTAAACGTCTTTCTGACCCAACTACTGTTCCTCTGCTCCACATTCAACTTTCTCTCGGGTTTAGATTTAGCTAAAAAAAATCTTCATAAAAGGCGTGTACAACTGGAGTCCCAGCAAAAACTGGAGAATACAATTTTAATGTTGGTATGAAAGCTAAAACTTCTCGATACCATTTCTATATGTACTCATATGTTTTGTAATGAACTTGCTGCTCCCAGGGCACCACGCCCACTGTGACTTCTTTGCAACGTGTCTTACATTCCCTGGCTTCCCACGTATTGGCCCAGTGCTAGGATGTGGCGGAGGCTTATAGGTGTGTGTGCTCCCGAAGCGAACGTGCCATATGTTCCATTAAAACATGCCGGCAGTGTCTCTAACGCATATTTCCTTAGGTACCATCTTAACGGTCCTTCTGCTGTGCCCCAGACACAACAGACTTGACCAGAATCATGTGGTTGCCATGGCATCCAAAGAGAGCCCTTAGAAGCTCATCAGCTTCTCCAGACAGAAGATGGTAAACTGCTCTGATAGAACATTTTCTACCTTAGAAGCTGAGGATAGACACGACATTTATCTGAAACAGCAAATGTGATTTTCAGAAGTTCTCTCAAGCATGATCTTTTATAAGATATTTGCTGAGAACTGCTCGGAGGTTATACGCTCCGGCCCTGACTGGCTGCTGCTCTCCTTTCATGTCTGATCTGGAAGCTTCTTTTTGAATAAAATAGAAATGTGAATGGCTCTAGCTAAGAAATTGCTTTGAATTTCACAGAAGAGTTGAAGTAGCTGCTCTCCTGTATTCAGGGAGAGTGAAGCAAAAAATGAGTCTGCCGTGACTAAAATGGCAGGCCTGTTTTCTTCTGTGCAGCTTCTCCCCAAACAGTTCTTTGATGTTAATCTAATTCTCATCAATCACCAACTCCAAAGCGGCCGAGCTTAGCTCTTTGAAAGGATTGCCTTTTAGAGAGTCTTATTGTCTGCAATTTCTGCCTAATGGCGAGGCCACTGAACCACTACTTTTAGCTGTAGAGTTAGTAAGCAGGGATTATTTAAGTCATTAATTTCTATTGCTTGACATGTAGAACACTTTGCAGTGTTCAAAGCACTTTTGCATCCATTGTTGTAACAACTGCCTTAAGGCAGAGAGACAAGTTTTATGTTTTCACCCCCACACCTTCTTTTTTTTTTTGAATGAGGGGATTAACGGTCAGAAAGATTATGCCTCCTGCCCTGGCTGCTGTAGCTCAGTGGATTGAGTGCAGGCCTGTGAACCAAAAGGTTGCCAGTTTGATTCCCAGTCACGACACATGCCTGGGTTACAGGCCAGGTCCCCAGTCAGGGGGTGTGTGAGAGGCAACTGATGGATGTATCTCTCTTAAATCAATGTTTCTCTTCCTCTCTTGTTCCCTTCCTTCTTCTCTCTAAAAATGAATTAATAAAATCTTTAAAAAAAGAAAAGATTATGCCTCCTTTAAAATCAGTTCTTAACAAGAAGTAGGCCTGGAACTAGAACCTATTTTCCCAGTTCCTAATTCAGACTCTAGTTGTCCTGTCATGATGGGCACAGTGTTGAGGATGGTAAGGGGAAATCTATAGATTGTTTGGTAATTAGCTGCTTAATCATCTGTCTCCTGATTTGAGTTTAAGCTCCCGAAAGGTAGAGATTATTTTATTCATTATTATAGCCCCAGTGCCTAGAATACTGCCTGGTACATAGTAGGTTCTCAATGAACAGTTTTGTTAATAAACAAGTAATACTAATGCCAACACATCTGCCTACCCCCTTCTCATGCATTCCAATGACATGAAAGTGTTGACTGTGAGAATTATATCTAAAATGAATAGGCAAAGGTATGGGCCCAGGGGGCGGTGCAGGTTGTCAT